GAAAGCCGACCGACTCACAGACAGGCCCAGTGAAAACAGGCCTTGGGTTCTGTGAAAACCAATCCGCCTCCTTCTTTTGTTTCCTGTGCTATTTGTCGACCTAGGGTTCTTTGCTGGATTCTATACTCATTGGTATAGTTTCACACGCAGCTTGCAATTTCCATAGGCTCCGATTTTTGTAATTTTTCCGTATTCATTTTATTTATTTCTTGGAGTTGTATCGACATCACCATCGGATACACAACACACGTCGAGGTTGTACGATTAAACGGCAAGAAACATATCCCAAGTCGAAGACCCAACAAGAAGAAGTTCTAATTCCTGTATTCCAGTTTGTTCATTGACATTTTACATTATTATAGAGTTCATTTAGTTCAATTCCTCTTCATTTACTTCCGTCGATTAATAAAATTGTTATCAAATATTTTTACGCGTTCGTGTGTTACTCAGTAAAATCATATAATTCGAAAAAGACCAGTGCCACACAGGACTGGTCGAACTCACGATAAAAATATACACAAAAATTATTGTCGGACCATAAAAAAATTCCCTGAGAAAGATAGAGGAAGGAGATTACCTACCTCTCATCAGTTGTTTTCATCATTTATTAAAATCTCCGACAATTGGCGCCCAACGAGGGGCCTTGTCATCATTTTTTAAAACTTCCGACAATATATATATATATATATATATATATATGTGTGTGTGTGTGTGTGTGTGTGTGTGTGTGTGTGTGTGTGTGTGTGTGTGTGTGTGTGTGTGTGTGTTGGCAATAGACCATAATTTTTACAATATTCAATAAATTCTACGAATGTTTGGCGTTAATATGTTTTGTAGTTCGTCTTTGCGATTTTTCTTACTAAAGTTTTTTGGAAAACGTTTAGTTTATTAAAATTCAAAATAAACTTATTTTCCGAATTCATGCTGCAAATAAGGCCGTATTTCGATTCCGATTGAATCATCGGTGCAATTTGATTTATATAGGGAAATATTCACTTTGTGAAAGTGAACTTAGATGGAAATTAGGTGTCAGATTTCTTTATGGTTGGTCTATTATTGTTTATCTTCGTTGGTTTCCTTTTCTTCATTGATAGCATCATATTCTTCTTTGTCATTATTTACGATGCTAGTTTTTATTACTTCTTTGTTTTCATTGTTGATTAAGCGCCGGGTTGGGAGTGAGTTTGTCATTTTTTGTTTTTTGTTTATTTTCAGATGCGTGTAGTTG